GTTTAGGACACTAGACAGTTAAGCCTTAATTAAATGCGTTAATATATATGGCGTGAATATACCTGGTTCTCCTGGCCAAAGGTCCTTGCATTATGAAATAATAAGTAAATTTAAGAAAATGGTCAAAGCCATGACGTCTTTCGTTAGTTAAACGTTTTAATCAATGTCACTGAACGCAAAAACAAAGCGCCTAACTATAATGAATAATGGTCACAGAACACAAAATTTTTACTGAATAACAGTCGTAGAACACTAAATTCTGAAACTTTGGTTACCTTCCTTAGACGTTATAGTGCATAGCCTATTCTAGGTGAGTATATTTACAAGTGCTTAAAACTTAATAATTTGAGACATTTACAATATATTGTATAATTATTTTTACTAAAAAGGGCTTAGACAGTAATTTGTTGTGCCAATATTTATAACCTGTCAATTGAAAGTGAACATAACTGTACTAATACATGTACAATATCTAATTTTTTGTACGGATAAAAAACTAACCTTTTTTCAATGATAAGAAATTTTATGAAGGCTGATTTGTATTTTGCATCAGGGGGCACTTGGCGAAGACAAGAAAATACAACAAACGAACCACTTTGTGGTACATTGTATTTTCATATTTTCATTTGGCGCCCGGTCACTTTTTGTACTTTGTTGGTTTTATGTGGCACAAATCACCCACTTTAAAATTTAGTGCACAAATTCATTCAAGTGCAAGTAACAATCTACTCTATGAAAAGTCTGTTTTCTGGTTGACTCTGGAGACCTGGAGGTTGAGACCGGTGACCCTCCTTTCCACATTGATAAGACAGAACTGTCCTTTTAAAACTATGCACATGTGATAAAAAAAATAGAATAACAATTCAGAATATGATTTTGATAGACTTTATAAATTATATTGCTTGATCCAAATTTAAGGACATTTTCAATCAATACATGTATTATCATTTCAAACATTAAATGAAAGTCTCATCCCTTTAATAATAATTTCATAATGTCATAATGTAACTCTTTAAATACAGAAATATTTTAAGTCATATCATATCCATATACTAAGATATACATGAAAGCACATAACATTAATAATTCCAACTTTCTATTAAATATATATAAAATCCTAACATAAACATTAACATTGGTACTAATGGATGGAATTCAAAATCTAGTACTAGAAAGAAAACTATAATGTATTAATTCTATTAGAGACAGCTAGCTAGAAACGCCTATAGCATATAGACTAATCAATACATGTATTATCATTGATAAATTTAAATATAAGTCTCCTCCATCATAACTGTAAGACTTTAAATACAGAAATATTGTAAGTCTCATCATATCCATATACTACGATACACATGTATGCACATTACATTAATAATTCCCAGTTTCCATTTAAAATAAATATAACATCCTATTAACATTGGTACTTGGATGGAATTCATAATCTAAAAGTAAAAAAAAATCTCAAATAGTCTATATCAATATGATAAAGATTTAGTTGTATGGGTGTCTAAACATTAAATGCATATCTCTTACAGTAACAAATACTGTCCCATTTCTAACCTGCCATTAGACTTTACTATATAATTAACAGCATATATATCAAGTGTTTAAAATTGATAACCATTCTCTGTTTCAACATATGGACATGAGCATCTATATGCATAGCTTTAATTTTCTACCTTTCATTTTATTATTTGAATAACAATTTATACACAAACACATAGACAATAATAATTAGTTTCACATAGTGATTAGAATTCCTGTAGGTATGTACTAGCTGAACAACCTAGAAAATTCAGTCTAAGGTATATAAAGCCAGTAAAAAAAGTATATCAATATTCACTCCTCGGGGCCTCTATGCTTTTGATGACCTTACAACTGGTAAATTTTATACAACAAAAATAGTAAGTTATACCTAAGATAGACAGAAAAGAACAAATAATTTAGTAAACATGAGTTACTCCCCCTTAAATAGAGAAAAGCTGAAACCCAAAAGAACACCCTAAACAGCAAAATTATGAAATGTTGCAGGCTCAGTTTTATTAAGCCATGCAAAGTAATGATAAAGTATTCATAAAAAGTTATATGACCATGCGACAGCAGTAATTGCAGAAAAAAAGTTATTAAATACAAATATAACAACATATTTGTTTACTTGATTTTTACGAATCAAAATAAAACAAATTAACACAACATGACATTAAATGCTAATAATAACTGCTCCTTCCACAGGCCAAAATAAAAAGCATTCCCTATAAGACGACGCCGCTCACCGGAAGGAAGTTTTGAAACTAAAAATATCATTTAAACTTTCAATTGTATTTTGTCCTTATAGAAAATTTGTACCTTTTTATTATGAACTGTAAATTTATTACAAACACTCTCTACACATATGTGTAGTATTTTATGTATGCATTGCTTGTTTTGTTATGTTTTAATTTCTTCTGAAATAGATATGTGATAAACGTCTTTGTGTTCCTTTGTTGTCTAAATATAACTTACAAAGTATATCTATTATCTGGTACTGTACTGTTTAAGAGATTTGTGGAACTTGTATAAAAGAAAAACTGCCATATATAATCATTCGTTTGCTTACAAGTTTGACAAAAACCATCAGGAAATGAGCCCTGCACATAACTGTCATGGAAGCTTTGTTCTCAGCATTTTTGCGCAAATCCAGAGAGTAGAGGGGGGTCACAACCCAACCCTGGGATATTGCTATTATGTCAAAATGTCAAACCCTGTGATATTTTGTAATTAAGTTAAGTTAGTTTTAGTTATTATTATAATCAACTCTTGACCCCTTCTTGAAAATAATTAAAATGCATAACCCGCTCCAATCTCAATAAAATCAAATCTTAACTGACGCTCCACTACCCTTCGCTCGCAGCGAAGAGTAACGGAGCTCAAACGATTATTTTATTCCAATGAGATTGAACCCCCTCTAATGGAATATGCATTACTCCCTGCTGAAAATGAGCGTTCCAAACTGGTAAAATATTCCTGATTCGCACCAACAGCTTCATTTACTGTATATCTCCGTATATCCCATGGACTTGATAAGTACATGGTTACATATTGTCAAATACAGGCTCTCCGCCCTCTCACCTAACCAGTTACATATTTCTTCGATTAATTAAGGTTATTAGATTAATACATGAAGCCCTCAAAAGGTGCTTAACTCTGTAGCTCACGTTTCTAAAGTTTATACATAATTTATTTTTGTTCGATTGTGTTCGATTATGTGAAACTATAAGTTTATAGACACACTCTCGAACCAAGCTGCACTGAGTAATGAGTGTAAAATTTCTTCCTCAATGAAGTAACGGTTTGGCCCTAATAAAGTATAAACCCATGCGGTTAGTGATCTACTAACCACTTGGCAATGGCAGCACTATACTATAGCTTTTTAAATGACTGTTCTTGTATACTTATCAAATCGTATCAGTGTGCATTTCTATATAGATTTATATGTAGATAAATAGTATCCCTATCGTGCAGAAATGTTATAAATGAATATTGTTACATATAGATTACTATTCTATTCATAAAATTTTATAGCATACACAAAATAGAAAAATAAATTCAGAAATGAGGGTTTTTTATACAGATTTGTTAAATGTATATATGACTGGTGCTTATTATTATTATTATTTTATAATGGGAAAGGTAAAACGCAATTTCTGGTCTATTTATAATAATGATTTAAATAAGAGTGTAGGTTAAAAATAGTTAAAAATGAAACTAGAATTCTAAACAAAATTTTTAATGCGCATATACTACTGTTAGATTTATATAAAATACTTAAGACAAAAAGAAATATAAAACGACTGAGGTAAGTCAATATTTTAGTTAATTACATAAACATATTGGTACGCTGTAAAGTTTTTCACTCAATAAGACTGTCATCACATTGTTGTGTGTGTTTTTCTTTCTTTTCGTTCTATTTTAATAGGAAAATTACACTTTTGATACAAAATTTTAACATAAATTAGTTAATTTTTCAACTTTATATGTGGTATTGTAAAGTTTGTTTGATTTCCATATAGAGAGTTTGTTGTAGATTAATACGGGATCATATACTTTTATAGATTTTAGTGAATTTAAAACATTTTTTTTATTGTTCTAGACAAATAAAAAACTATTAAGAAGTGCATATTGTTTGATATCGTGATCTTCAATTTTAGTAATTTTCTTTAGATAGCTTTATTGACAGAAAGGTAAATATATGTTACAGTTTATGTGTTATTTTTCCAATTTGAAAAGTACTCCAATCTGTAGTCGACCTTTACAGAAAAATGTAATAGTAAAACCATAAAACAATTATTTTATGATAATATGCGTATATTAATATGTTCACATTTGTAAATTAGATTAATACATGAAGCCCTCAAAAGGTGCTTAACTCTGTAACTCACGTTTCTAAAGTTTATACATTATTTATTTTTGTTTGATTGTGTTCGATTATGTGAAACTATAAGTTTGTAGACACACTCTCGAACCAACCTGCACTGAGTAATGAGTGTAAAATTTCTTCCTCAATGAAGTAACGGCTTGGCCCTTATAAAGTATAAACCCATGCGGTTAGTGATCTACTAACCACTTGGCATTGACAGCACTATACTATAGCTTTTTAAATGACTGTTCTTGTATACTTATCAAATCGTATCAGTGTGCATTTCTATATAGATTTATATGTAGATAAATAGTATCCCTATCGTGCAGAAATGTTATAAATAAATATTGTTACATATAGATTACTATTCTATTCATAAAATTTTATAGCATACACAAAAAAGATAAATAAATTCAGAAATGAGGGTATTTTATACAGATTTGTTAAATGTATATATGACTGATGCTTATTATTATTATTATTATTATTATTATTATTATTATTATTTTATAATGGGAAAGGTAAAACGCAATTTCTGGTCTATTTATAATAATGATTTAAATAAGAGTGTAGGTTAAATATAGTTAAAAATGAAACTAGAATTCTAAACAAAATTTCTAATGCGCATATACTACTGTTAGATTTATATAAAATACTTAAGACAAAAAGAAATATAAAACGACTGAGGTAAGTCAATATTTTAGCTAATTACATAAACATATTGGTACGCTGTAAAGTTTTTCACTCAATAAGACTGCCATCACATTATTGTGTGTGTTTTTCTTTCTTTTCGTTCTATTTTAATAGGAAAATTGCACTTTCGATACAAAATTTAACATAAATCAGTTAAAAATTATTTTTCAACTTTATATGTGGTATTGTAAAGTTTGTTTGATTTCCATATTGAGAGTTTGTTGTAGATTAATACGGGATCATATACTTTTATAGATTTTAGTGAATTTAAAACATTTTTTTAATTGTTCTAGACAAATAAAAAACTATTAAGAAGTGCATATTGTTTGATATCGTGATCTTCAATTTTAGTAATTTACTTAAGATAGCTTTATTGACAGAAAGGTAAATATATGTTACAGTTTATGTGTTATTTTTCCCATTTGAAAAGTACTCCAATCAGTAGTCGAATTTTACAGATAAATGTAATAGTAATACTATAAAACAATTATTTTATGATAATATGCGTATATTAATATGTTCACATTTGTAAATTATTCAAGGTTACGTTCATTAAACAACAATGTCAGTACATGATCGACAACATGCGGGAAGCGATGGGGAAATCAATCTGAGCGTTGAAAACAGGAAACTACTTACTGAAATAGAGAATCTTTGTAGTAACACAAGGAGAAAAGTAGAAAATGTGTTGTTAATAGGAAAAGTTGGTGCTGGCAAGAGTTCTCTAATCAATTCTGTCAGGAAAGCATTGACCGGTCAATACATTCCAAAAGCTCCAGCTGGAAAAGGGTCGTCTTCGTCGAAGACTAAAGCTTTAGAAAGGTATACAAATTTAAAATACAAAATCAATAACATATAAATATTTTTTGAATTTGTTAATTAATTCTTGTCAAATATAAATATTCTCCTTTGCTCAAGATGGTATTCATATTTTCTTCTTATCGTATTTGTATGGCAGGTTTGAAAGATGTGGTGTAGAAGAGGATGACTTAATACATGACAGAGACCGGTACATGAAAATATCTCACGTGCCGACGATATTTGATTTCCCTGGATTAGGTGATACAGAATTCGAAGGTTTAGAAGAAATACTTGATCTGATAATCAAAGGTAGGAAAATTATCTGAGTTCCGAAATGAAAATATGTACTTATTTTCCATTTCCATATGATATCGTTTTTTAAATATAATTGTACTTTTTGGCGTATTTGAATTAGAATCGTATATTTAGGAGGAAGGAAAGGAGCTGAGACTGAAAAAAAAAATAGAAGCGATTCTTTAAATGCCACATGAGAAATTTTCCGGCGTTATGTTGTAAAAAATATGAAGGACCAAATTTATATTGCAAACATTAAAACTAAACACTCATTTCACACACTCAGTTGTTATATCGAACTTCTAGTAAGTGTGTGAGTAAGTTGCCAAAACACCACGACCTTCATCTTAGTATTTTTATATTTTTTAAGTTGTTCAAGATATCATTGGTTTCAATACCTTTTTTTTGAGGATTGAATAATGCTAAACCGAAGTTTTTGATAGCAACATATACGTTGTACTTTCTTTTACATGTTACAAATAGACTCTATAAAACCGTGTCTGCGATATTTTACACTATGTATACTGTTGTTGTCACTGCTCTCAAGTAATGTCCTTTTTTAAGAATTTTGATTTCATTTTATCAATACAAAAATACCATCTTATAAAGATCATTCAAGTTGAGTCAAAGCGACTTTGGTTTATACAGCATTTATTTTAGTTCGATTGTGTATAAAAGACACATTTTCGAATCCTTTCTTGGAATCAAACAGTACTGAACAATGAGTGTTAAGTTTCTTACCCAAGGCAACAACGACTTGCCCCTGACAGGGTTTGAATTTTTATGGCTAGCGACCATAAGATTACTAGGCCGACGCGTTAGCCATTCCGCCATGCCGCCACTAGCGAATTTGGTAAAAGTTAATGTCACTGACCAACTCTATAAGGAAGGAAGTGATTGATTAAAAAGATACTGTTATTTTAAATGCATGCATTTATGATTCGTTCATTGCATACATGAACTGACAAAAATGATTTATAAGACTATATATATAGGGAAATCAAAAGGCATTGATACATTTTATCATGCAAGTAAATAATTACAGAAATTATGTATATTATAGCTCAAAATGGCTCTATATTTTGAATGATGGCGAGATAAGACGAACAGAATTGTGATTGGTTATTGGCCGATGCTAAAATATATCGAATTCAGCGAAAAGAAGAATTTTGTATCAATAACTAAATATATGAGACATTAAAAGATTATTATTTTATTCTTATATAAAATGCTCTGTTTGCATGTGCGTCAAAATTATACGATCTAAGGTACGTAGTTGATTTGAAGTGTGGGATAAATAATAAGCTGCGGTCTCACTTACTCCCGGCAGAGCCCAGAAACACCGGTAAGTTACTGGAATGATTCGGGACGACCCGTGGTGAAATTATTGTTGCGGTCACACTTTATTTGGCAAAACTATAGTAATTTCAAACTTACCACCCAGGATGCGCTCCGGACCATCCATGCAGAGCCCATGTGAAGCTATGATTAATGCCGGTGCTTCCCCGGTCGTTCCCGGATGACGCCGGCAGAGCCCCTTTTGACAAAGGCAGAGCCCAGGACGATCCAGGCAGTGCCCCGGTAGAGCCCCGGTGGATTGTAAACGCGCAATAATGATAACGTTGATAATTTCCATTTAATATAATATTTATTGTTCCAGAACAGTATTTCATGATGATTTTCTGAATAATCCTGCATGACTGGACAGAAGAGAAATGGAAAAGGGTTTTAATACTAACAAGTGATATAATCGCAAATTGTCTTGGTTCTTTTGAAATGAACTTTGCTTTACCAGGGCCCTACTGGGATCAACTGTAGCTCGATCGTCATTCCCCGGGGCACTGCCAGCATTCTCCGGGGCTCTTCCGTATCTATACCGACTATATCATATCCCGGACCATTTGCCGGCAGAGCTACGCTGCTTCGCTGGTGTAGCCCGGGGCGTTCGCGGCCGAGGTAAGAATGAAGCCGGAAAAGCTGTACTTCCTGGATCAACCCTGACTTTTCCGGTGATATTAAATATTTTATTCAATCCGGGGTCGAATGCCGGATGTTCCTGGATCATCCCGGACGTTGCCGGCAGAGTTACGGATGTATTCCGGTTGTTCCTAGACGTAACCCAGTCGTTCTCGGATCATTCCGGACGTGTACCGGGGCTCTGTCGGGATGTAAGTGAGACTGCAGCTTGTGTTAATAAACATTTGCCAGTACTAACATTTAGATTTATACATGTATACTCTATGACATTACGAAGACAACAAAATAATGTTTCCTGGAGTGTAAACTACTTAGTTCAGTAGTATCTTTACCGCCTCATATTTTGATGTGCTCCACAGAGAAAAACCTAGAGAAAAGGCTATAAGTACGGAATACAATACTGCTATCGAAACAAACATAAATCAAAGGGCTACAACCTCTGTGGTATTTTCTGATCGAACTGTATATTTGTATGTATTTTCCTGTAAAAGTTATCTTACAGGGCAACGAGATGCATGCAGCGACTGCGTTTAAAACAGTTTAATGGCACGGAAGTGTCACATTGAGGTTCAAATTTTTTATTTAGTTCCGCCCATTGTTTTCTCGTTTAGGGCACACGCATTTTTTCACTTGGGGACCATATGCCGCTTTTCATGGAATGGCACTAGCGTATCACATTGAAGGTTCCATGATAACCGCCATATGAACACATCTGCAGATGTTTCAAAATTCTAAATTTTACCAGTTCATGTTAAATGTTGAATTCTGCTTAAGCCGGTGCTAGGGGGCGTGGACGGTAGTTTGTACTTGACAGTACCGTCCATGAACAGGCTCAATCAAACCGAGCCTGCAACATTTTCAATTTTGCCGCGTTGGGCTTTCTTTAGGGATTCTTATTTCACTCTATTTCATAACTTCTGATCCCCTTTCACAATTCAATTTTATTTAGTTCCGCCCATTGTTTTCTCGTTTAGGGCACACGCTTTTTATTACTGGGGGACCATACGCCGCTTTTCATGGAATGACACGGAAGTGTCACATTGAAGGTTCCATGATAACCGCCGTATGAACACATCTGCGGATGTTTCTAAATTCAAAATTTTACTATTTCATGTTTAAATGTTGAATTCTGCTGAAGCCAGTGCTAGGGGGGGGGGGTGGACGGTAACTTGCACTTTCCAGTACCGCCCATGAACAGGCTCAATCAAACCGACCCTACAACATTTTCAATTTTGTCGTGTTGGGCTTTCTTTAGGGATTCTGTATTTATCTATTTTATGGTCACATCCGTGTTGTTTGTGCCGTGCGGCGGCTGTAAAAAGTCTCCCCGTACATTTAATCAATGATGTTATATTTTCGATCCTTGAAGATCGTTCAGCACGACATTATTGTTGTGCTTGTAGTATTTTTAGTTTAAGTTTTTCGGCATTTTCTAGTTGGGTGGTTCCAATATTCCTACTTTAATATTGTTGAATCACCCTTAGGATATGTTGCCTGCTTTTTAAATTTGTCTTTTGACGTCTTATCTGTGATATGCAGGCTTAATAACCTCTGATCCCCTTTTGAAATTCAATTTTATTTAGTTCCGCCCATTGTTTTCTCGTTTAGGGCACACGCTTTTTATTACTTTGGGACCATACACCGCTTTTCAAGGAATGGCACGGAAGTGTCACATTGAAGGTTCCATGATAACCGCCGTATGAACACATCTGCGTGTGTTTCTAAATTCAAAATTTTACTATTTCATGTTTAAATGTTGAATTCTGCTTAAGCCGGTGCTAGGGGTAGTTGACGGTAACTTGCACTTTCCAGTACCGTCTACGAACAGGCTCAATCAAACCAAGCCTGCAACATTTTCAATTTTGTCGTGTTGGGCTTTCTTTAGGGATTCTGTATTTATCTATTATTTGATGCATATACGAAATTTTGCATGACTAGAGTTGCATAAAAAATCATTTATGTTCAATTTTTTTAATACAGCCACATTTTATCCTTGCATATCGTGGCTACTTCCTTACAAAAGACACTTCAAAAATAGATGCCTTGACTGGGATTTGAACCCCAGACCTCTCACACCCCAAACGAGCACGTTATCCCTGCACCACGGGGAGGTTATACTAAAAAAGCCTGAATAAAATCATATGATACTAAATTTAGAATATCCATTTCGGGTTTGTAATCCTTATTAATTTCGAGGTATTTTGTTCACGATAAACCTGTTGTTTAACACTGATGTAAATAGTTTAGCGAAAATCTTCTCGCCAAAACAGTCCGACATGTATATATTGCACAACTCACAGTCAGATTTATGTGTGTACTACGCTCTGCAGTATTCGGTCATTGATATCGCTAAAAGTAGCATGATATTCATCCGCGTACTTTGTAATTCTGCATTTATTGGTATTTCTATAAGCCAATGCTACTTATAAACTTTGAATGCGTTGTAATTTGTTGGATACTTGTAACAAAATAAAAATATTTCTTTCTTTTACACCGCAAGTTTTAATCTATTTTTGAGAACTACTTGTTGTTAGGTTTGTCGTGAAAATTCTGTGTCAGAGATTGACATTCGGAACTGTCTCGGTTATTATCTATAATAACCTCGGAAACAAGACGGATTGAAAGTAGTTCTACCACGTGGTTTCAGATGTTAACAGTAACAGAGATAATATAAAACGAATTTTTATATTTGACATCTAACGTCTGTTCCGGTATTCTTAAATTATGCTTGAAAATATGTCTGATTTTAAATATGCCAACACATGTTCAATTGTAAACAAATCCGACAAAATGTCAATAGGTTGGTTTTTTGTACTTTTGGTTTCTACAGCCATACTAATAAATATATAAAAAGTGTATTGTTTGCATTTGTACCTATTTTATTTTAGGTGGACTTTTAAACTTGTCAACAACTCCCAGCGTTACATTACTTTGTGTTTACATGTTTAGTTTCTCAGCGTAGGTTAAACCGAAATACCGCATCCGTTCCGTGTATTCATACTATTTTGTTCGAGGTCCTTATCCGAAGACTGACGGAAAGGGCCGAGTAGTTGCGATAGGGAGATTGAATGATAGCATTGAATTTCCTGATCTGCGATCAGAAAATACAAAAACCTAAACAGTTCACCTAAAATTTTTGCAGGCTCGGTTTGATTAAGTCTGTTTATGAACAGAAGTGTTAAGCAGAATCCACATTTTAAAATTTAAAAACATTTCAGGTGATGTGGCGCCATATACGAGTCTAAGATATTTGATAGAATCTCAAAACAAAACAAAGAATGACCATGAAAAAGAATGTGAATTAAAACAGCCTTACCCTAACAGTAAAATCTCTACAATTTTGTTTGTGCAAAGCTGCCGTGAATCAGCACCAAAGAATTTGATTTCGTGTCTTCAGAAAGTCCTCGACAAATCTGGCCCCGACGGAAAACTCTTATGTAAGTTGGGTACATGTGATAATCTTTGTAATTAAGATTCCACAATCACATTTTATTTATTTTCATCGTCTATATTCTATCAGCTGAATGCATACCGATTGTAATGATATAAACATAGATATGCTGGTTTTTATACATGTAGATTATTTTGTTTATTATACAAACATGGACTTTTTCGCTGGTGAATATGATGTGATATTAACTTAAAAAATTAACGTTGACCGAGGTGATACATATCATATCTACTAGCTAAAAGTACATACATGTTTTTATTATATAATTTATTAAACGCTTGTATATGGCTAATCAAAACTGCCATTGAATACGACGGAAATCGACATTTCTTCAGCTAAGCAACAGGCACTTGAATTTTGCACGCGACAACTGCCTTACATTGGTCATTATTCCAAGTTATATTGAACTCCCTTTATGCACTTAGAAGCTTTGCTCCGGACAAGCCATTTTTAATGACCTCTTAGTGTGGCCTTGACCATTGACATAGAGACCTGGTTCATGCGCATGACACTGCTTTTCATAGTAGTAAACATTTCTATGAAGTTTCATTAAAATTCCTCAATGCGTGTAGGAGAAATGCTCCGCACAAAAATTGGACTCACCCGCCCGCCAGGGGGATAACTATAATACGACCCGTTTTTTCAAACAGTATTTAACTAAACCTTCAAAAATAACAAAGAGATATATTTCAACTTGAAATTAGTAAACACCTAACTGTAAACATATATGGACCAATCATGGTCAGTAATGTAATCTAGTAGTGGTACCTTGGAAATATTCTGAACGCACACAATTACAAAAAATATTATAAATACGTTAATAACATGTTCCGTCTTAAAATGTTACAATGAGAAAGAATAGGTCATATTATTTTTCCAGAATAGTATAAGGATATGTTTTGAACCAAACATTTATCATTTTCGGTTTGCAAACTTCAAATGGAGGCAAATATTGTATGTGTTTAATAAAATATGTTTTATTTTATTAAAATTGCCAAAATACTTGAATTGTAGCTTGCATCAATACAATCATACTAAGTTTGTAGCATTTAAGACGACTTTTATAGCAATCATTATTGATAAGGAAATTTCAATGAAATTACAGACACTGGAAAAGTACATGTAGTAATGACGAAGTTTGACCTGGTGAATCACCAGGACAATAGTGATGATGAAACCACCGAAATGATATCGGAAGATAACTATATGGATATAGAAAACGATATGGCTGATCTTTTCAATATCGATGGAAATCGACAAGACAACCTTACTAAATGGACAAGCTATTCAGATCGTTTGGACGCTGAGCGTGATAACCCAGCCGTAGACAACAGTGCTCTTAAATTGATTAAAATGATAATGACACATGGTACTCAGGCGGAACTCATGCCCGCGAAACCCATGCCGGCGAAACCTATGCCCGCGAAACCCATGCCGGCGAAAGATGATTCTTGTCAGATTTTGTGACTTATCATCTACAGAAGCTATTTAGTTTTTGTAAAGAAAGTAGGCTATTAATACTTGTTTTACAAGATGTATGTAGTCAGTTGAGCTCAAGAAGCCAGCATTTTAGAGTGCACGTTTGCAAAATGCAACAGCAAACTGATTGAAATATATAAGATTAACATGAAGATTGTTTCAAGCTTTTGATTGATTTAAAGGAAAATATTGCACATTGCTACGGTTGATTATGCCCTTGATTTTTTCGACTGATATAAAGCGTCACGTACATATACTGTTTGTTTACGGCTTCGTTTAACTGTGAAGAACAAACATAACTGCACAGTAACGATTCTTATAATTAACAAAACTTATTTGATCAAACAAATGCATATATTATTATGTGAATTTGATATGAACATATAGTTTTAATTTTGTGATTGTCATTCAAAGATAAACGATATTTTTAAATAAATGATTGTTCTTCCAAGATAAACACTGATACGTGTTTCTTAGATGCAAATGAAAATATTTTTATCCTATTATCGGAAGAATATGACATACCTGTGATAAACCTCAACTAAATACATGTATTGTAAAAAAGAACATAATATATTTATATGTAAGGGATTTTTGACTTTGCTTAGGGTCAATCCCGAATATGCATTGTATAGATAATCCCGTTAACATCGATTCATTCAGTACCTATATATTTGAATAAGCTGTATAGTAAGCGACATATTTTATGTACTCCTCACAAACAAAACTTTTTATTTGAAATATATAGATTTTGTCTTGGATATTTTTTACAAAATAAAACTAGAATCAATGGAATTACTTAACATTTGAATTGCCTTTTTTCAGTGTTATTTCTAATTTATATAGGTTTGCATTACTGTTGGTCTAAATAATTGCAGAGGATCATGAGTAGTTAGTAGTCTTACTTAATGGTTTGAAATAGATTGACGATCCTTGGCAGAAACACATAACGTGGCAGAATAATCTGAAGCAGGGTTAAGGCAGGCCATATTTCGCTTAGAGATGCATCGGTGATCAGTTATTGCTGACTAATGAGAGTAACTTTTCATTGACAGATATGTTAGCCGAGATTACAGATATCACTTAATGGAGTAACCATGTGCCTTCTTATGTATTCTATATGTATTTTATATGTATTTTATCAATAATGTTTTAATTCTTTTTGAACGCCTTACGAGTAATATACACTTATCAAACGGGGTAGTATTTAATGCAGATATTTCTGAATTCCAAATTTTACCATTTCTTGTTTAACTGTTGAATTCTGCTTATGCCGGTGCGAGGGGCCATGAAAGGTAGTTTGCACTTGACTGTACCGTCTATAACAGGCTCAATTGGACTTTCTCTATGGATTCTTATTTTCTCTATTTTACTGGCGATTACATGATATAAATGTACCCAAGATTTAAGAAAATGGGACCATCTCATTGGTTCTGTAATAAAGTACAATATATTTAACTGTACCAACCTAGATGCTTAGGATTTCTGTGACAACAACTATTTGCTAGGCTTTAAAATCTGTCCGCAGCCTTTTTGGCATTTTCCAAAATATTATTTCTTCAATGTTTATGTTTCTCTACAAAATAACTCAGAATCATTTTAGGGTTTCGGTTCGGGTTATGGGTTAGTGTTAAGGCTAGATGGTATTGGATTAAAATTTTTAAACATAGTTTTGCTGAAGAGATTGTAAAAGTGCTCCCTATTATTTCATTGACTTCAGAGTCCTGTCCTGTTTTTCTTTGGGGTCCTCCTAGGCTCTCTGCCGCTGGTAGGTAGATTTGTATTCAAAGTAGAAGGTAAAGAATAAGACACAAGTGTACAATCATGTAAATTGTGTGTTTAGTTATGTTCTAGTTATTCAAATGGTTTTAATTCTGACATGTGCCTACGTCAAGGAGAGATAACCGATCCCATTTTTATTCTCTTTATTTGTTACAAATTTTAAACTTTGTTACAAGACAATCCTGAAACATGTTTTTGGATTTCAGGCTTGTCTTTTAACCCACCCCTTACATACAATCAATGTTGTTATATTTTCATTCACAATTGATTGTTCGGCGTTCATTGTTCGTTGCCCCCCTTTTAAGTCCTGCCTATATTTCCAATTTATTATATAACCATTGTAAGAAATTCTCTTTGCGGGAATTAATTTTATTTTCACTGTCGTGTCAAATAAGAATATATTGTGGCTAATAATGAGATTTGACGCGCCTAAAACAGGTTTAAATTTCCTAGTGTTATAACAACAACTGACCAATCTAAGGCGGTACCCCTCTGTGTTTTTTTTCTCTCGCATGTTGCACGTATCTGCATTATTACTTGTTTTAAATTTTTGCATGATTTGTGATATCTACCTTACTAAATTGTCGTTAACGGTAGGTATTTGCTCACCCCAACCCATTTTTGAAACCCCTTTTCATGCTTATGGCCCTTGTCCTCTTAATTCCCATATGGGCCCGTTATAGTTTCTATTACTTTACACATTACGTGTCCGTCTCCTTTCGCCGCCCTTATGACCACGCCGGGGTTTTGGCTTGGCAACTTCTAGTTTTTCTGCTGTGGTAGCTCGAGTGTGTAGGGGCTGCGTCATTTGAACGTTGCCTTTGCCTTGTTGATCTTTATTGTCGTATTAACCTTTGATAGCGTTATTTAATTTTATTACTTTTTGCTGATGATGTGGCCGTCGTTGACAAGCCACCATGAGAATTTTAAAATAATCAAATTCTGATATACTGTGGGACTCATGGTATCACTAAAACGGAGGACTTCTTCCTGAATGGCTAAATCTTAAATGTTGTAAACGATTTTAATTTATTTATGTACGTTTTTGTTACTTTACTGTAACTTCACACTTAATCAGGAACATTAGATAAGAAAGCCTTAAAATATCTAAATGTTTTCTTAAAAACATTATGGTTTTCTTTCATTTAAAACCATAATATGATGACACTCATTTGATGCCTTTGTTGGCTCTATTGTAGGATATGGATAATTTGGGGTTATACAAGAACTAAGGAATTAAAAAGTTTGCAAACTTATTATATGTAATAACAAATAATTGTTTCCCTGCTGTATTACGAATAAGAAAAATCCGTTTTACAAGTCATGCAGTCTCGATGTGTCAGAATTATAAAATTGTGATGCCATTTGAAAAACTCAGTCAATTTCAATATAAATACAGTGTATTGATTGTGTAACTAAATGTAAAAGATTGTAAAAATGGTAGTCAAAAGTGAAAAAGTCCTTTTAAAGTAAAACAGGAATGGTTGCCACATTTAACATTCATTTTATATCTTTTGTTTAAAAATTATACAAATATTTGCATATAGATGCTCAGTTTTTAACAAAAAAAATTGTTTTTCTTGCAGAAAATAAAAAAGTGAATACCGCTTTAGCATTAATAATGTATGATAAAGCATATAGGATAATTCATATTATGCATGCAATATGTACTTTTTAACAACAACTATAACATTCCTCTTGAAGATGGATATTGTTAGCGCTGTAACATTTAAGATTTAGAGAAGGAGTATTATTTTTCTTATTTATATTTTCAAAGGTGATTATTGTAACAGACCATTTAAGAATTGAATTACTTTGTATTCATAATAGATGTATATTAATTAATGTAAGAAAATAAATAAAGGAACTTTGAAACTAAAATATTATATAAACCCTCAATTGTAGTTTGTCCTCATAGAAAATTTGTACCTTTTTATTATGAGCTTTATATTTATTGTAAACACCTTCAACCCACATAATTATTAAGTTTTGTTGTATATATATGTATTCGTTGTTTTTCAACAAGGTGATGTACATTTATATTTGTATGAAAAATAAACTAAATATTGGGAAAAATTTATAAAATTAAAAGTACAATAGATGTAATGGTTTTAATTGGATAGTTATAGAAATGATGACTTAACAAACATGTTTTAAACTTGCATCGGCCTGTTTTAATGCAATGAATACAATTTTGTTTTCTATTTGCTTCTTTTCTGAAATAAACCTGTGATATATTTGTGTCTTTGTGCTTATTTGTTTGTCAAGTATATATTGTCTCTGGTACTGAACGTTGATTGATAGACCTTTTATATAATACTGCCAGAAATAATCATCCTGATTACAAATTTAATAAAAGAAGAAGATACGAACCCTGAACATAACTTGCATGGAAGCCATGTTCTGAGCAAAACGATCATAATTAAAGAGGATATAAATGTCAAAGGATTTGAAAATATACAGCCTGACCGTAACTCTAACCCGGGAAGCTAAAAATACCTTACCATGGCTCTTACGTCTCAGCTGTCAACTTTCACATTTCTTCCCTTGATAAGTTTACAGTCAAATACCAGGACATTAAGTATATGTTAGTGTTCATAGTCTTCTATAGAAATAAGAAACTTTGACGGGGCGATAGCGACCGGAGAATGTTTCTTATTTCTGTAGAACAGCTACGGACGAATACTAACATACTTAGTGTCAAACTTTATTTGGCTTCATTAATATCTACTTTATTACCTTACTACCAGTCCACTTTATTAATCAATTACCTGAATGATGGGTTTAAATTTGACCTTATAAATATGCATGATTTACGTCACTAAGACGCATGTACTTCTTGTGTTTCAGTTGGGAAATATGAAGGACGGCATATGGCTGATTGCTCGTTATTGAAACATTCTTTTTCGGAAAACATTTTTGATGAGTTGGATCATTGTGACCTAAAATGATTTATACACTTTAATGAGTTGGACAACTGATACTCAGTAGCTAATATCTTATATGATTTAAACATGTATCCACTAAATATCACGTGTACGTGTTAACGCGAGGTCACGTCATTTATTTTTCAAAAACATAATGTATACTTCCACTTTCTGTCTACTGAAAAGAGTAAATAGACAAACGTGATTTCCTCTTAGTTACATTCGAAATAAAGAATATTAAATTGACATTTAGTATTGGGTTTTACTTTAACACATGCAGTATCTTTTTCGCAAAGATGTCGATTTTAATCTGAACTACATGTATATCCTTTATCAATAAATGCAAAAATAATGTAGATTGACCTTTTGACGTCATTCTTACTTAATTAATATTCAAATGCGGCCCCCGAAAGCGCATGTGCAAATTTTTGCAAATAACTATTTTCACATGAAGCACTTTGAAAAATAGAAGGCGACTATGAACAGAGTTTGATATAGTATCGACTTTTGTTCTTCTATGAAAATTAACACTTATTATTTTGCAAATGATGAACTGCCCTAAAATATATTTATATTTTGAATAAGTGGGGTTGGAAAAAGTGCTCTAATCAATACAATATACAAATTGTTAACAGGAAAATATTTTGAAATAGCTGAAACTGGACGCGGTGAAAAGCAAACGTTAACCAGTAAGTTAAAGGTAAGTGTTTAATTGTATGAGGGATATGCAGATAAACTGGAACATTATTAATGTACATTTTTATATTGGAATCTTATTAACTGTTACAAAGACGTCCTTGATGTTTTATCTACTTACAACAACAATATATACAAAGTATATGGTAGTGTTCATCCGTGCTGTTCTTCAGCAATTAGAAACTCCGACGGGAGCGATAGCGACAGGAGAATGTTTCTAATTTCTGTAGAACAGCAACGGATGAATACTAACATATTAGTGTCAAACTTTATTTGGTCTCATGACCACTCACTGTATTACGTCACTATGCCGTTCTATGAAGAACTATAACAAATAGAAGTCGACTATGCATGGAATACGATAAAGTATCGACTTTTGTTCTTCTTTGAAAATTAACGCACATAATGTTTAAGAAATACAGCGTTTTCATTGGATGACAAATAGAGTTGAACACTAAATATATTATATCCTACTTTTTTCAGGTACAAAAACTGTGGAGTTAAGGAAAACAGGATAGTTGACTCACCATAAAAAGATAGGATTGTTCGTATGATTCCAAAGTTTCCAAATGTGATGGATTTTTCAGGCTTTGAAATGTAAAAAATACAAACAATCTAAGTGACATAATCGAACTTATCTTAGGAGGTAAATAGCTATTGCAAACGAACATCAAAATATCTTGATAATTGATATCATTTAAATACATGTAAGATAATGAAGCAACTCAAAGATATTGAAATGTAAGAAATGTAAGAAATGTAAGAAGCATTCTTAAACAGTATAACTGACAATTCTTAAGGCATGCGTACAATATACACATACTTCTAGCACTGACAGATCATTAGGCATGCGTCAATGCAGTGTCATTTAACATAAATGTTTTATATCATAATAGTTGGGTTTCTTTTCTACGAAACATCCCTCCAGTTATGACAATAGAAGCTTTGAAAGAAATCCAGAACGATTATTGAGTGAAAGGTCTTTAAGTAAGATTCAAAATACCAAATCCGTCGTGGAAAGTCGATAGAATAATTGTGACATAGGGTTGTACAGACGAAAATGCGACTAGAAGAATTGAAGAAGGTTTTGAACAGGATCAATCAAACCGAGCCTGCAACATTTTCAATGTTATCGTGTTGGGCTTTCTGTAGGGATTTTGTTTTACTCTATTTTTGGTTTATACGACTCGGATACTTGTAAAAAGAAATGTAAGAACATTTCTATCGCACATAAATAACACATATCAAAAATGCATGTATTTCTATTTTAAAAGTTATAATAGTAAAAAACGAATAGTATCTATCATAATACATTGAAATTGGTGTACATGACTGTGTATTAAGGTATTTTATAATAAAAGTATAGTACATAAATCGTTAAATCTGCAATGCTTACTTCTGTAGTACCGTATGGTACTGGTTACGGGAGTTGACGGAAGTTTACGGACCAACCGGAACTAGTCTGACAGTTGGGCGCCATATTGTTGTAATATATACTCAGAAGAATTAGGCAATTCCTAGCTTGGCTACGATCTCGACGTGGAAGGTAAGTCAATTGTTTGTATTGTCAATCCCTCTATAATCAATAGCGACAGTTCTATATTGGTGGCAGCGCTAATTTTTACGAATTCCGTTCCGAAAGATAGACGCTACCAAAGGTCCATAATTTTACTGATTGTGTACGAATTTGCCCTCAAATTCTGCACTCATAGAACGAAGTCTACCTGAATTCTTGGTTTTGTTCATAGTGGGCCAATCTGCTTAAACGATTTAAACCAGAATTTCTACGTAAATAATCGTAGTTTAGCGGTAATTTGCCATCAAATTCCGCTTAGGTTAGACGTTGCCTGAAAGGACCAAATTCTTTGGAATTTGTTTATTTTTCGGATTTCCTTTTCGTTCTGCTGCCACTGGTACAGTAACTGTATATAAAGGGAGAGTCCGAGATATTTTCTCAGGAAACAAAAGTTGTGCAGCCACCCTTGGTTGCCATTAACTTTGAATCTGAGGAAAGGCTACAGGCAATACCTTATGTGGGTGCAAGCCTAGCCAAGGCGCTCATTGCAGTGAGGGAGAGCTCTGGTAATATAACCAGGGATATTTTAGAGGCCATCTGTCGTCGCAGGTTCTCCCCTGAGATACTTGCTACGATAGACTTTAGACAGAATACGTCTCTGTCAGCTGAGAATACTGACAAACTAGGCCAGTCTAGCTTGGAGGTAGACACAGACGAGAAGGAGGAAGATATTCAGCCAAGTACGCATGATTGGTTGGAAATGGTGAAGGTGGTGAAAGCGGCAACCAAAGTTCTGGCCGCTAAAAAGCAGCAGCAACGGTCATCTGTTTGAACCCTTGCAACAGACGACAAGATTTTTCCAGATAAAAATCTAAAGTCAAAATCCACACTCCCCCAACCTTACCACAACCAGACTATACCACCCCTAAATGTACCATACGTTTTGACCAGGTAGTGGATAGTGATTGCAGTGATGACTCTATGTGCGCTAGGGCACCATCTGCGTCTTAGAGTTCGTAACCGGATATCTGCCTTTCCCGAACACTTATCATATGATGGTAAGAGTACTTAGGAACCGTTCTTTTTAAAGTTCACTCGCTATGTCCAACAAGGCGAGTGGACTGATGAAGAACAAGTTAGCTGTTTTGTCTGGTGATTAGATTGTAAAGCGCTAGAGTATTATGCGCTTATCAATGAACAAGAAGGTCAGCTTACCTTCAAGAGGCTGGTTAGCAAGTTGGCTGCCCGATTTGGCAAACATGAGTTGCCAGCTGCATCACAGGTAAGTTTTCAGAATGCAGCACAAGAGACAACTGAGTCCCTAGATGAGTGGGCTGACCGAGTGCTCACTCTCGGTTATAGAGCTTTTAAGAAGCTGCCAGAGGAGTTTGTCACTGTCCAAACAGTGAACAGATTCTGTCAGAGTTGACAAAGAGGCCGATCACCATGTTTGCATGCAGCAACCTGAGTCTGTGCATGCAGCCATATAAATGGTACGCCAGTACCAGCAGGTGTATGCAGCCATGTATGGTGAACGGAAGAAACCGGAAAAGGCTATTGCTGTTGCCTCCCAGCCATCATGGGAGCGGCAGGAAGAGCCTATGTCAACCGATGACTTAAGCAAAGCCTTAAATGACCTGGAGCAAAGACTGACAAAAACCTTTTTGTAAGAATTGTCCCAACCCCGCAGATCAACCGGATGCTACAATTGTGGCGAAATAGGGCATTTCAAAAGAAATTGCCCAAAGCTAAACGACAACCATAAGTCTTTAAACTAGAAAGGGACGGTGAAAAAGTAGGTCGTTTCCGTCCCTATCTGCAGACAAGACCTGCAAAATTAGAAAATCCCGGTTGGCTGCCAATTTCAGCCAAGTAAGCACGGGGGAGTCGAACCAGACCCTATTGTTGTCTGTCATGTTAATTCCAATTCCCAGTTTACCATGGGGGTTCAAGTAGGAGATGTCCAAGTTACAGCAGTGGTAGATACTGCTGCCCAGGTAACCATCATTTCTGATAAGGTGTTCAAGTCCCTGAAGCACAAGCCCCCCAAGATAAGGGATGTCAAGCTGCAAACGGCTGGCAGGGAA